CATGTGTTGCGTAGGTCAAAATTCTCCAGAATTCTACATCTACGTTATTATGACAGCTGAGGATTTAGAAAAAACCCTAAAGTTCAGTAGGCCATGATTCTTGTTTGACACCATTCTTAAACCATCAAAGAACAGGTCACTCGATAAGCGACTGTTTACTTTTAGAGTAGGTTCTTCTTTGTTCAAAGCCTCACTGCAATTACCACGGGTTTCTATTCACTATCGGTTAGCAGTGTTTCTGTCTACATTTTTCATAAACTTGGAGAAATGAGTGCGTATCCGATTGACCAAATAAAAGATCAACTCAACGATAATATCTCGAAACTTCTGGACTCAAATGCCTCCATCGCGACTCAGCTCGTGTGATAATCCCTGCTCATTTCGTCTCTCGAGACATTTCTCTGGAGGGACGTATTGCAGCGGACAGTGATGGTTTTCGTGGAATTGCAGAAGATAACAATCTGGATGTGTGCTTCATTCTCGTAACGGCTGACTTGGATATAGTTTAATGGAATTTATTTTTTATGAGTGAATGAGCTGTTTAGGATGCAATATGATTTATGATCTTTCGACGTAAGGCTACCTTCTCTAATAGAAAACTTTCAAACAATTTGCGAGTTCTAAGTCAGATTCCTTACATATTACTGAAGATTTACACATCCGTAATGACCTTGTTCATGGTTATCGCAGGTAATCCTTTTGCTCAAGTCGACAAAGACGTTGGGGAAGATGTTTTGTTGATATAACATAGCGAGCGTGCATTGTCAATCATTTAGCTTATTTTCTAAGTTGCAATATCTTCATTTTTGTTAGTTTGGCCATGAGGAGCCATGCTCTTGTAAGACCCGTAATGGAGTAATCAAAAAATAAGAAAAATCTCAGGTGAATTACGATTTCAACTGCACTCACACAAATCTGCAATTCTCAAATGATTACAGAACAACTGTCATATCGTAGTGAGCCAATTTTTCTTCTTCTACACCTTCTGCTGTTACTTTTCAAGCGAAAAGCGCCAAACTGCTGTTTGATTGACATCTTTCAGTCACTTTTAGTGGTGTCACTCAAACGAGATACACACAAGGATAAGTCAGTCACGCACATCCTAACTAAAGTGTTGAAAACTGCTGTCACATTGCTCACTTCAATAGTCTTGCGCCATAAGTGCTGCTGTAAACACTGCTAGGCCTGATCTTGGCAAAAGGCACCGCATTGCTCTAAAAATTTCGGATATCGGCCCTAGCTACAATTTTGTTGTTGCTAGTCGTAATTTTGCAAAAAAAAAGAGACGCAATATCCCGCTTCAGAGTGGACAAATTCTTATTCCATGGGCATCATTCAACTCTGCTCGGCACCCATCTTCAGATATGTAGAAACGCCTGCTTCAACACAGTAGGAGGTCAGAATCCAACAATTTTTTCAGATTTTCTTCTTTCACTACGTTACGCAGTGAATGAAGTGAATAAGCACGCTGAGTGGTCACTACGGTGATATCGGACGACTGTGCGTCTTTTGTACGAAAATTGCGAATCGTATCGTAACAGTTTGAAAGAGCCGTTCCCCCATTTTATCAATGGGTTAGGTATGTGACCGATCTGAAATAGTCAACTCTATCATCTTCTTCCAGATGCAAAACTTCCGTAGTTTTCTTCCTGCACCTCTTCTACACTTACAATGAAGCGCACAAACAAGTATTTAAAGATCACGTGAAAAACATTTTAGACTCGTGTACGAAAATATTCGATAGATCAGTGATACAAAAACATCTCGGATGATCTAGTACTATGTTAGTGGCTCTTTAAAGCAAATTGGAATGACATTCAGAGTCTGCCGATGACCTAACTCTAAAATTTTTGAAATTTATGGCGTGACAAAACATTAATAGTAATAAGGAAAATGCAATATTCTCTACTTGATTTGAATGTCTGTGGCAGCCATTATCGTGCAGAATCATTATCTGCAATCGTCAAACTCACAAAAAAAAACCATCTGTTCGACTTTTAGGCAGGCGGGCAAGACATACGGTATAACGTCACAAATGATACCTTCTGCTCAGTTTTGTTTTTTTCTTTGAAACGGCGAGTAGTTGACCCTAGTCCTATGTAATAAGATCAAAGTACTGTGAAAAGAGCATGCGTTTCGAATTTACTCCCTTCTTTAGAGTGTAAATGAAGAGCACCACTTTCGCGCCAGTTCCGCTTCTCCTTTTGTTTTCAGCGCAAGCCATTGAAATAAGTAGATGGCGGAGAAACAAAGCCTAGATTCCACTAAAGAACCAAAATTAGCTCGAATGCTGCTGTTAAGTTCCCCTTCACACAAAAAGTTGATTTGGAGGTGCAGACGCTACACTTTGTTTAACATGGCTATGTTTTCTGCATCCAAAGAAACATAAAGGATGCGAGACAACATCTCTGTTATCCTACTTGATGATTATTCACCCTCACACCATCTTCACACCTTCACCGGCTGGACCACGCCCTTTTATTAGCGTCATTAATCTCGAAAACTCTTGCAAGGTCTGAGTTACCGCGCATCAATAGCCCCTCATTTACGCGCTGATGATGATCTAATAAGCATCGTAACACCTCGCGCTCAGCCACTCACGCATGATTGCACTCTACTTGGATCGCTCTTATAATCTGCACATGCTTCCACGATTTGTCTACTGGTTTCAAGAAGATTTATCTGTCACTGTACTGACACGGCGTTACCCGAGCGGCTACGTCTCTTGACCCACGCATACTCAAATCACTGACTTTCATTGTGCCGACTACTTCTCATTACTTTTCCTTGTGCAAATGTTCTTTCTCGTTCGTTTTCGTTCGCCTCAAACTCATTCTTCTACTGCCCCTTGGATGAAAATGCAAAGTATTCCACTCTGATGGATATGCTACTCTTTTTCAAAACTCCCAAATCTGCTGACGTCGCTGTTTTCCCGTTCTTTTCCTTATGAATCGCTTACTCTGAACGAATAGAAAATTCAGTCCAAATTTCGACACCAGGATACTTTTCAAGCATGAAATCTAGGTTTGATAGCCGTTGCATTTCATATTTGGACTGGCCCAGCGTATTCTTCTTCTGCACTGCATCCATTAACACCAAATATTCAAGTTTTAGCAGTTCTATATCCCTCTGCTGCTTCCCATGGGAGACTTCAAAGCAATCATCACCAGGGTAAAGCGGGGGATGCGGCACGCCGCACCGGGGGGTCGTATTGAGGAGTCAAAAGGGGGGGGGGGGTCGTAGTTGGGTAAATGATAATAGCGATAACATGATATCCGTATCATATCCATAATTAGCATGTCAATTAACCCCTGTAGACAAAGTGTGAGCGAATTCTGAAGATTCAAGATACTAGGATACCTAAATGAAATGGTCAAATTCCAGCATGGTTAACTTTGTTTCAAAGGTGAACTAGCTATCCGTTTTTGCACTCAAGACAAAGCACTACTCCTTCTTTGTCCACCTCAGGAATCCCGCTTCAGAAGACCTCCAAACTGTGGAATTAGAAGCCAACCAAAATCTCGTTTTTCCCATTTTTCGCTTTTGATCGCTTTGCTCTCACCAAATATTACTCAGAGCTAAGAAGACGAATCAGGCTCAAAACAGTCCTTGAAATCTACAAGGTTTAGGCTATCGATTCGTATAAATATTGTCTGCTAAAAATGTTTTTTTGATATAGTTAATGCGGTGCGGCACCCCCCAAGAGCTGCGGCTGCCGCAGTTTTTAAGGGGGGGGGGGTAGGGGGGGGGGTGCCGCACCCCATTAAGTCTCACCTTCAAAGAGCTTAAACATGAACGCTATCTACATCCGTGCAATCAGTGAACCTTCTCCTCTTTGAAGCAAAAATTTCATTCGAGATCGTTTCTTTCGAAAGAAGTTATGGAACCTTTTTCCATTACATTCACTTCGAAACAAGGCGAAAAAAACATGGGTTCGGTAAGACGCCGGCTCTGCTCCGGTACGTAAGTTGCAGGGACGCGGCAAAATGAATAATTTGAATGCTTTGTACTGTTAATGCGACCATTTTTGAGTTGTTCTTGCTTCCGTGTTTATCTTCGTTTCATTCTCTTTGATCATTGCTGCCATTTAGGGATGGTGCGCTTATGTTAGCAATTTTCCAGGGCATTTCCGATGAAACAAACGCGCTTTTGGACCAACGAAATGTAGCATTTCCCAACCTGCGATCTCTCAACATGACATCTATGGAACTACTGAGCCGTCCTCCTCCACGCAGGTCCTTATTTACATGCTACATTCGTAGCGTACAATTTCCTCTTCAGTCTGTCAACGTGGATTATATGATGAAAGTCCTATTTTCAGGAAGGTCGGTGTTGCAAGCATGGACACTCGTAACGTACTCGTCTTGGGTGAGGAAGACTTGGAAGGAGAGGGTATGCTAGGATTGCGTGAAAACAGAGGGAGGACCATCATTGCCATCACATTCGAATCAACAGCAGCCAGTTTTTGAAGGGTTAGTGTTACAGTCTAATGTCGTGGCCACTTTGATTTTGCTCCTTGTCAGATGCACGTTCTTCAGACGCTCGACTACTGGACCTAATGGTCGACTAGTCGAGCATCTGAAGAACGATTGACGAGGAAAAAGCTTTGGAGGAGGAAGAGGAGCGAGAGCCGCCAGTATTTACATCGCGATGTCCGGCATGCTTTGGTCAATTCACAGATATTTATCTTACTTGCTTTCCTGCATATTGAATTGGTGCTGAGAACTGTGATTTAGGTAAAAGAAATTCCCGGAAGACGAGGAGACATCTCCAAATGATCTGCTACGCCGGTGTTTGACCCATTGAAGGATTTGACAACGCTTGATCTCTCGTATTGGAATAGAGTAAGTGTCAAGAATATGAAGGGGATTGCTTGCGCACTATTTCACATCCTCTACACTTTTAGTTGGAAGATCTCAGATGCATTCATCCGCTTCACCTGACCGCTAATACTGTTCGACGTGCCTGACTTGTATCAGGCCATTGATAGCATCATAACCATGTCGGAATTGAGGTATTTAGCACATGTTTTTTGCATTGAGTTGCTGAGTATAGTGTTCTAGACAAATTCTAGTGAACTGCGAATAAAAGGTTGCGCTTTGTAGGTTTCTTGACTTGTCTCAATCATCGCGCATACAGGACGTTACCGTTGCTTTCCCCACGAACGAATGGCTCAAGGTATGCTCTTTTTTTCTAATATTTTTGTTTTTGTGGTTTTTATTAGTACACTTTCCATAATCTGTTAAAGCTCTTCTGTTTTAACTTGTCGTTTTGATTGTCGTCGTAGTTTTCACGTGAAAGCTTTTTTTCATCTTTTGGGGGCCTTGAAGCACTTGGTCGTTTGGCTTTAGCTCGTTAAAGGCAGTGGCTCGGGAAAATTGCGACTGCGGGCTTTCTACGACTACATGGCCTCCTGGACCAGCTGAGTCCGGTACTGCGCTTGAAAAGATCCCAAGCAATCTCCAAGACCCGGAAACGCCAAGAAAAGCACTTTTTTGACTTTCCAAACGCAGTACCGAACTCAGCTGGTCCAGAAGGCCACGTAGTCATGGGAAGCCAAACCTGTGCATTGCTTATGGGGTGGTGGGAGGGGGGGGGGGGTAGGGAATGGGGGGCGGGGGGTCGTGCCGAGGTTCGGCCCAAGGGGGGGGGTCGTATCCGACGGTCGTGTGCCGCACCTCCGCTTTACCCTGCTCGTCAGAAGGGGGTTTTTCGTTCCAATTCCTCGTCCTTTTAACCCACACAACTGTCTCCCTTAGCGTTGAAGATGAAGCTACTCTTCACTTTCGTTCCATATGAACCACATCGACAACTATAAGTGGCATACTGTAAGAGTAGATCTTTATCGCTCGCGCATTTGCTATCGACATCAGGCATTCGTCAACGTCGTCTCTTGCGTACTGACGTAGAAGTGGTCCAGCATGGGTCGATAATTTCCGTCTCTTCAATGCTCTCGTCATCTGTAGTAGCCCTTAGTTCTGAAGGAGCTATATGGCTATAATTATCGAGACCTGATACCGATACTCCATTTTTTTTCTTTTTTCTTGGAATATTAAGAAATGAATTTCTTCTGTTTTTACGGGACATATTCATATGAATCAGCTAAGAGCTCTCGCTAAACACAATTTAAGAAATTCCTTGCTTTTTCGGTAATCAGTGTGATAGGTATTCCACCTAGAATATCGGTCAGAAAGATTTTCAAGAGGGTTTCTTTCAAGCAGTCTAAAAGAAAAGGACTAGTTATGCATTTAGTAAATATGTATGCTCCTTTGCAAGCGAAACCTTTCGCAGCTAAAGCTTTCTGCTTGTCCTGGATGAAGTGTGTGAATAATTCAAAAGAAGAAAAATTTTTCTGGCTTCTTTATTGCCGTTTTGACTCTGCGCTTGACAATTAAGGAAAGTAGCGTTTTGTTTTTGAATGAAAATGAATTATTTCTAACAATTTCTGCAAAATGCGATTCTGACGCTATAGAAGCAAGGCAAAGGCATCTTACGCATTCAGCTCAGTGATTTACAAGTAATTCACCCATCACCCTATATGGTTATCCTTAGTCTCTTCCATTCATGTTACCATCCAGTATATTGGCAAAAAAATCATTTTCTAAACTACCCATGTCATTTGCTTGTCTATGTGACTGCAGGTGGGTTGGTTGAGAGACTGGGAGTATGCCCTGCAGTCGCGAATTCGTACCAATATGCTGTCATTCCCAACAATTACAACTGCGAGGTGGCACTTTTCTCAGAGTAATTGTACCTCTACATAGAACTGTTAGGTTACAAGGACCGTCCCCTAATGGCATCGTTCTGAGGCTGACTTGCTTTTATTCCCTCTCTTCCGCTATGCATTACCCTGTCATTCTATTTATGATGTTGTTTCTAGGCACTCTTGATCGTTAGTGGCGGCCTTTTTATTACTAAAAAAACCTTTAGAGTTATTTGATTTCACACTCATAGCATGTGTTTGACGCATTGTAGGCGATACACATCTATGTGACTCAAGATAAGATCTCAGGTGTTGACAGTTAGCGTACTCTAGGTGTGGGATTTCGATAGCAATGTCATTCTCGGATATTCTTGAGCTCCACCTCGCATTTTGTTCCATTTGCCATTTGACTGCAACGACTTTTTCTGAGGACTTTCGAATTAAGATATCAAGCTCATACATCGTTTTTTGAAGATGTCATAACGAAACTCATTTTTGTAAAAAAAATTGTAGAGCTGGTACGGCGCCTCAATCTCAATCTGAATGAAATATAGCTGCTTCCATAAAACTAAGTCCCAATCATTCATTTCCCCGTTTGTAATCCATATCCTCCTTATCTGCATTGGGTCATTAGTAGCCCGACAGCTCTCTTTCGATTTAGAATGATGAATCGATCAAAGCTTTTCTCCCGTTGTGTGCATCCATAATTATTTGGGAGGAGATACGAAAAATGGGAGGGCCCAGTTATCTACCCCGCTTTTTGAAGGGTGCATCCCTGAACTATTAGATGTTGTTTACTCAATGTTCACCTTTAGATAAATACTAAATAGCGTAGCTGGTTACAAAAGTGGATAATTTACAGATGTTGCTATTTTTGGCTTTGTTACCTGTTATTCTGGCGGAATCATTTTGGAAGACCGCAGAGCTGTTACGAGTAGATTGGAGGGAGGGATGCTTAACTACCGCTGGTTGCTCCCATCCAAGATTCAAGGTATTTCGAAGAAACTTGAGCTCCATAAATATTTGGGTGGCTCCAGACGCAGATGCTTTCAGATTCTCAAAAATATGCTCCCACTCAAAGAGAAAATTTCTATCAGCTGGCCAGTTTCCGAGGATTTTGTGCAGGTAATAATTTCTTCTTCCTCACAGATATCTCTCAATCATTCTTTCCCTTTGATCCATTCCGGCCAATCTCTGTCAATTACCGTGCATAATGGCGTCGTCTAATTGTGATTAACGATGTTCCGCACTGCATTCGCCAGCATTGTTCTGCCGCATTTGAGATTTTTATGGACTTGTATACCTTTTGTATGCCGACTTTGATATCAGTTTATTACGATAGCATCTATGAGGGCATTCAGCGGCCAAAGTTTTGAAGACATTGTATACCGCTGTATTACGGTAACACCTGTGAGCGTTTGACTGCCAAAGCCTTGGAGATACTGTAGCTCTCGCGCTAGTGAATAATTATTGCATCCTATACATCCCCGACCGAGTCCAGTATTTTGCTTACCGATAACGGGGGTATGGGCATATCGTAAGGTACAGGCTTATTTTGCCGTTCTAGCGCTACCATGAGATGTGCTAGATAACCATTATGCCCTGAGAGCACAAATTTCTGACCCAATAGTGCTCTCGGAACCGTTTGCAAAACACTGGGCTCACCTCACCATGAGTATTACGATTCCCCAAATTATATTTTAGGATTATTCACGCCCGTTTGTTTCCCATTGGGCAAAGGGCATCCCAGAGGATTTGATACTCTCTTGCCAAGTGGTTGGAACCGATCCGACCTATGGCTTTCCACGAATCTGCGATCAAACTGCCTCGATCCGTGTTTTCAAGGACAATGCATCTGTAAGCTAGAAACTCGCAGTTATTAATCACAGCTCGAGTTTCGCTAATTTTCATTGTCGAAGAACAGCTGCATTTGCGCAATAAATTTTGTTGGTAGTATTTCGAATGCGTTTAGGACGGTAATCGGCCTCAGCTGGCCACAATCACCACATCTCACCCGGAAGAGGAGTTGGGCAAGAAGCTGGTTGAGATACGAGCCAAGTGCTTCAATGCCACCATAGCTGTTCAAAAGCATAAAGAGAGATGTCCATGGTGTCCTGATCCATCAGAAGTGACTCTACTTCAGCAAACGGTTGAGTTTTCAATTTTTTTAATGGTTTTGTACATATTTTGAGAGCTTTTTGCTCCCCATACATAAGAAAATAAGTTTTGAAAACCAAAAATGTCAGGTTTTGACGAGTATGGTTATCCGGAAGCTTATAATTGTACGATCTAACACTAACTTCAGTGGTATCATGAACTCCTAAGAACGATTTTGAATTTTGGAACCCTTAAATGTGCATCAATGTAAGTAAATGCCACCAATTTGTCATTTCTTGATGGTTCTCCTTTTTTGCCCATTATATTATTTTCTCTCCCGCCCGTTCTACAAATTCAGGACTTACTTTTCTAGCGATCGAATCGCAAGTATTATAGCGTTGACTTTTTGTCTATAGGCACAGGAATCTTCTCAGCTCGCACCTGCAGAGGCGACATTGACCTCCCGATGTTTCACACGAATGACTGAACAACTTAGGTAGTATGCCCCCTGGTGCGAGTAATCACGAGTTCCCTGCTGTGAGAAATCTCACCTACTGTGTCATCACAATATGGTCACAAAACACCACACAAGTTTGAATTTTACAGTTGCCCAAAGATGTCCTGTCAACAGATTCGACTTCGGTATTTATGCGTTTGTTAGGAGACGATAATATCATGCCTTTATGTCGGTCCTGGCAGGGATCGCTTTTATGTCTTCGCTTGGCATCGCTTGTGTTCTGGTCGCTTTTCTTCGTCTGGAAAGGTATGTTCGGTTTTTGACGAAGGTTTTAACAGAATATAGAAGTATAAAAGCCCTTTGCAGGACTGATCGCCAAATTCCTTCGAAACCGGGCTCTCAATTACGTTCTCGTTCAAATTTGGTAAAGATACCAATTAGGTGAGCAGCTTGAAGTAACTTGATTGTGGAACTGCAAACGAAGGAATTATGCGTATGCCACAACCAAACTGCCATTGCTCTTTTCTAATTTATATTTTTCCAAATTTCCTTTGCAGACACGGTGCACCTTGGGAACAGACGCGTCCGCTCATCTGCTGGCTGTCTCCGTCATCAAACTCCGAAGCGACAAAGACGTCTCCGCTTGAATCGGTTTTGTCTACGGGCACGCGGTCGTCGGTCATCGTTCCAAGCTTCCAGTCCAAATCTACAATACCACGAAATCACCTATACCATCAAATTTCTCCAAATTCATCGATTGAATCTGAGCAAGAACCTGGCAAGTGATCTAGTAGCCCAGTTGGGCTTACCTCTAGATCCCGATGCGGGTATGTCTTTCGCTATCTCGCTCCAGATAGATCTTAGTAATCATGCATTCCAGGCTTGAATGCAAGAAAAGCTGTTGGCGAAGAACTAGGAATGCGTTTATATGGAGGCGGAAAAATGAAGTTGAAAAATTCATACCTGGCCAAACTATGCGCTTGAAATTATCAACGCATCAGTATCCACAAAACAAGATATTTGCAGAACAAGCCCTCTGATGCAAATAAGTGCGGTCTATTTTTCTTTTTCTTTCGCTTGTGCAGCGCTTTTACAAAATATTTCTCCTTTCAGGAAGCGTAAACTACGTTATATGCTCATAGATTGACAAAGCACAAATCGAATAAATATATAAGGACAAATTTGCTGCGGAAGCCGGGAAAATCTTGGCCATTCTGGGGAACGACAAGTATTATCAGCACAGTAAGTTTATCTTTGCTAAATTTCCGTAGGGCAGTTCATATGACCTAGTTTCCTTTATGCCACTTCTGATAAATCTCCTATATTCCACTTAAGTTCCCTTCACATTGCTGCTTTCATAACTCGAATCATCATCCTCAGATTAGGGAAGAAATTCTGGAATGTTTGTTTCAAAGTTGTGACACATGTCTTTCATGAAAAAAAACCATGTGTAGAAAACTCAAAAGAAATTGCTTATCATCTGAGTGAGGTAATGAAAAAACTCGGAAAAAATTTTTTTCTGTTTAATGTCGATTGACTGCCCGGTTTATTGTAATTTTTCAGTTTTAGAGGCAGAGGAGAGACTTGAACTCTTTGAGCAGTCCTACGCTGGAATAAGCACAATCGGCGGACGATAATCCTTTTTTTTTGTTCTATTCTGAAAGAGTGAGGACCGTCGGGCTTTGTTTCATACTGCACATGATATGAATAAGGTTTTCGCAGTTGGTGGTTGTGCTATTGTCGCGTTTCATGACAAATCCTCTACTTCCTACACTAGTGTTTTGTATCAACTGCTTAATGCTTTGTAACTATGAAAGTTCACATTTCGTTGCAAAAACGTTTCTTTCAAATCCCGATAGGCTACGTTTGGAAAAGTTTTGATTTCAGCAGAATTTCATTCAAGATCTTGCTTTCCTTGAAGATCATATGAAGTAGTCGCTTAATGATTTTTTTATAGGATTGGATATTTTGAATCCCTTAGAATAGTCTCTTGTACATATTGTAATGATGTAAATAGAACAGATATGTTTTGAATGTCCATACGGCTAATAAACACGCATGTATACCTGTGACTTGATAGTGAAGTTTTACTTAATCATAAAAAGTGACCACGTAAAGGCGGTTGCGTAGCGCGCCTAAGCAGAATTATTCGTGTCCTCCAGGTATCCACTCAGCTTATGGCAACTTAAAGTTTCCAAATAGATTACTGGAAGTTAATGTCAACAAATGACAACTCGTTCAGTACCTATTCAACTCTAGCTGACTGCTTTTGGGGTCATCCTCATGTGAGAAGCATTTTCGTAGCAGCCAAAAATTGTGTGAAGAAAATGAAAAAAGGAAAAAAAAAGAAAAAAAGAAAACTGAGAAATCCCTTTGGTTTTTTGATAGCACAAAAGTGGTAGAAAACTTTGCTGGGTTCAGAATGCAGATATATCCAGTTATATTTTTACTTTTGAACACATCGAAAAAACCGTTTTCTGGGTCAATAGATCAAAATGATTCCATGGTCTTGCCATGGAATCATTTCGATCTACTCCCTAATTTGCAAATGACTTTTGAGATTTTTTCCGGTCTAACTTCATATCGCATGATTTTTATTATCTAAAATGAAGGTCCTATCGTATTATTGTACTAGGATTTCACTTAATATATGATCAGAATGGATCTTTTGAAAAACACCAAAGCCGAGTCACATGGCTGTTACTGACAGATGGCTCGACTAGATTAAAATTATATTCCGAGCTGGCTGTTTACATGTCCACTTATGATTTATACTGTGAGAGTTTACTCATATTTATGCCGCTCTATGTAATCTTTATTATGGGAGTTGTCTAAACGACGCATAGACCTTCAGAACATCCTCCTGGGCACTTCGAGCACGGTGTTCCTGTTTCGTAGATCTTGGCGTTCAGCATGTTTCCTCTGAATTTGTTGCTCTGATGGTAAGCTTACTAAAGCAGCCTTACTTACGCTTCCTTATAATTGCAGACAGCCAAGGACATCTTAGGGCAGCTTTGAACAGCGCAACCAATAACTTTTGTAGACTGCCAGACCATCTAAATTGAGTGTTTATTCATGCGAAGCGGTGACATCGCCTTACCTGGTTGCGTGCTTGCTACAGGCGAAGACTTATCAACTACGCCGAGCTGTCCATGATGGCGCGAAGCAAATGCACCAGCAGAGCATGATCCTGCGTTAGCAAGAACTTTAGTACTTTGACTGTCTTTCAGATAAGACCCGATGGTGGTGTGTGTTTGTGTTCGCTCAGAGAACTATTAAGGAAAACGATAATGCAGTAATGTCCACCTGTGTGTAGTGCCCAACATGATTGTTGAATAGTTTCATGCTAAAGGTGAGGTCTTTGCCAACTCCCTTCTGAGCGAGTTCCCCAAACCATGATCTTGAAGCCTGGAATGATACCAATTGTTTTGTTCAAAGAAACAGGCACCGTGTCTATTCTCACATCCTCGGCAGCTTTTACTGGGTCATAAGCTGCGCTGCTCATATAGATGTTTTCTCCAAGAGCTTTAGTGTTTGAGTGCTGAAAGACACACTTGGCCGCATGTTTCACAGCGTATTTCTCCACATCGCAGTCGTACTTCTGGAATAGCTCACTATTATTTGTAGGCCATCATCATGATTGACAGTAAAAACACCAGTTTGTTCATCGCAGCAGCCTTAGGAGTATAACCTCCATAACCGTCTTTGGCTTTTCCATTAGCCACCAGCGACCTGCATGGATAATTATTGTAAACTCTCAAAAAGCGGAGAAAGCTTTCCAGTATATTCAATACCTTAACTCGTTGTGAACGTCTAAGAACTTTTGACGGATCTGATCGTTCATGCCGCCATTGCTGGGGCAAATGCCTGGTAAAGATGGGAATGATTTTTTGACAAATGAATGGCACAAAGAGATACCATACTTGCATAAGCAGTTGCGATGAGGCAGACCTAAAATGTATGTTAGGTATCTCACTCAAGAACTGAGGAATCGCTACTTACCAAAAGAATGAAACGCATCTTGTGTATGTTGCTGATCCGGAGTTGCTGCTGCTTTTATGCACGTTGTGACCTTTTACCCTTTTGACGTCGATCATAAGCTGTGTCATCTTTCCTATGTCATTTTTCATCGAGTATTAGGGTCTATTATTGAAATCTGTTATCATAGCTGTTCCTCCCAAGCAAAGTGAATTCTGATGTCAAATAGAACATTGGTAGCAAAAATACCGAAGCCATTGATGACGTCGACTGATATTGAAGCAGATCTGGGGTATCGTCTAAGCAAAACTTTGCAATACTGCAATAAAAAGTTCTTCGGGAAAAGATACCAATCTAGGCACATAAAAATTAGCAAAAGTCCCCTGGGAAGATTAAAGAACAGCTGAAGGACATCTTGGCAAAACTTTAGAAGATGGCTTAATACGAACATATCAGTGACACTACAGAAGACGAAATAAATCGCTCCAGCCCGCGCGAGCAGGTTCGAGGGTAATTCCTTTGCTAGCAGGTTCTAATGGATGGGCTCTAAGTTTTTATAGAGGATCTGCACAATAAAGCCTCGAAATTTGTGCAATCCGAACGGACGCAGTGAGTTTAGGGTGCAACCGATGCACTTGAACGAGCGGCAGAGCGGCCCGCACATGAAAGGGTCACACAATAGATTGCAATGTCAAATGGAATGCCATTTGTTTATCAAAGATCCAACTACTTCAAACCTTGTCCTGTATTCAGACAGAAGCGCCGTTCTCTCTCCGAGTGCGGAAACATTTCAGAGCCTATCAAGCTAATGCACACATTATTTTTTGCTTCGGCGATACCCCAGATCTGCTTCAATATCAGTCGACGTCATTAATGGCTTCATTGGTATTTTTTGCTACCAATGTTCTATTTGACATCAGAATTCACTTTGCTTGGGAGGAACAGCTATGATAACAGATTTCAATAATAGACCCTAATACTCGATGAAAAATGACATAGGAAAGATGATACAGCTTATGATCGACGTCAAAAGGGTAGAAGGTTACAACGTGCATAAAAGCAGCAGCAACTCCGGATCAGCAACATACACAAGATGCGTTCTATTCTTTTGGTAAGTAGCGATTCCTCTGTTCTTGAGTGAGATACCTAACATACATTTTAGGTCTGCCTCATCGCAACTGCTTATGCAGGTATGGTATCTCTTTGTGCCATTCATTTGTCAATAAATCATTCCCATCTTTACCAGGCTGCCCCAGCAATGGCGGCATGAACGATCAGGTCCGTCAAAAGTTCTTAGACGTTCACAACGAGTTAAGGTATTGAATATACTGGAAAGCTTTCTCCGCTTTTTGAGAGTTTACAATAATTATCCATGCAGGTCGCTGGTGGCTAATGGAAAAGCCAAAGACGGTTATGGAGGTTATGCTCCTAAGGCTGCTGCGATGAACAAACTGGTGTTTTTACTGTCAATCATGATGATGGCCTACAAGTAATAGTGAGCTATTCCAGAAGTACGACTGCGATGTGGAGAAATACGCTGTGAAACATGCGGCCAAGTGTGTCTTTCAGCACTCAAACACTAAAGCTTTTGGAGAAAACATCTATATGAGCAGCGCAGCTTATGACCCAGTAAAAGCTGCCGAGGATGTGAGAATAGACACGGTGCCTGTTTCTTTGAACAAAACAATTGGTATCATTCCAGGCTTCAAGATCATGGTTTGGGGAACTCGCTCAGAAGGGAGTTGGCAAAGACCTCACCTTTAGCATGAAACTATTCAACAATCATGTTGGGCACTACACACAGGTGGACATTACTGCATTATCGTTTTCCTTAATAGTTCTCTGAGCGAACACAAACACACACCACCATCGGGTCTTATCTGAAAGACAGTCAAAGTACTAAAGTTCTTGCTAACGCAGGATCATGCTCTGCTGGTGCATTTGCTTCGCGCCATCATGGACAGCTCGGCGTAGTTGATAAGTCTTCGCCTGTAGCAAGCACGCAACCAGGTAAGGCGATGTCACCGCTTCGCATGAATAAACACTCAATTTAGATGGTCTGGCAGTCTACAAAAGTTATTGGTTGCGCTGTTCAAAGCTGCCCTAAGATGTCCTTGGCTGTCTGCAATTATAAGGAAGCGTAAGTAAGGCTGCTTTAGTAAGCTTACCATCAGAGCAACAAATTCAGAGGAAACATGCTGAACGCCAAGATCTACGAAACAGGAACACCGTGCTCGAAGTGCCCAGGAGGATGTTCTGAAGATGTTCTGTTCCTATGCGTCGTTTAGACAACTCCCATAATAAAGATTACATAGAGCGGCATAAATATGAGTAAATTCTCACAGTATGAAAACATAAGTGGACATGTAAACAGCCAGTTCGGAATATAATTTTAATCTAGTCGAGCCATCTGTCAATGACAGCCATGTGACTCGGCTTTGAAACAAACTATCTCATATGTCTTTTTCGAAAAGGCCAAGCTAAGATAAGTGCCTTTTCTTGTTTGTTCTCTCCAGCAAATATTCGAAAACGCCTCCAAGAAACTTTTGAAAATTTCTTTCTTTTGTCGGATTATTTTTTCCACCCAGCAGCACTTCGTCAAGCATCAAATCAGATATCAGACCTTTCAGTAGCACTAGGCCTCGCAAATCCGTTCATGAGCTTATGGCTCGTAAAAAACCATTTAGATTCATTCTTTTTTGAAGCTACAAACTTCATTGCATAGACAATTTTGTCCACAACATATATTTGTCCTGCTGACTTTTCAGCATTTCACTGCGGTCCATCTGCATGCGCAGAAGGGAAAAAGTCATCGCAAAAAGTGTCCTATTTGTGCAGGATTATCTCAGGCACGATGAAAGCTGAAGAGCTCAAATGCTGTAGTTATACAGAATTTTGCTGGGGCTGTTATGGAGACTATTTGAGCGACCACATGCAAAAAAAGTTTTCTCAGAAAGTTTGAAAAATCGATGATT